AACTATTTCAATTATTTAATAATTTTATTGTACAAATATCTGTAAGATAAAAAAAAATGTCAAAGAAATGTAATTTTTGACAGCTTGCGTTTTGTGTATCATAATATTTTTTTCTTTATAATATTTTCAACAAAATCTTAATTACGTAAACAATATTTATGTTAATATGTATTAGCAAATTTATTTTCCAAATATTAATACTGACAACAGGGGAGCGATAGTCAATTTCGCTTTTATCACTGTACGTTGTACACACCTGAGCGCGCGAATTTCAGGCTATCTTATTCGTTAACTTTAAATGCTTCTAATTCAAAAACCATTACACCCTGAGTATTTTGGTATTAAGATTTTTTGCTCAGAATTATCTCAGAAATATACCCCTAAGCGTTGTCACGGTCTTTACGGGACACCCTGTATATAATTTCATGTAATTTTTTTAAATTTAATAAATTATTAAATTCAAATATTTTAAAATGCATTAAGTTATTTTAGCTCAAATAAATTAAAATTTTTTTTGTCATTATGTAGAACAGACTGTGTTTTGTCGAAAAACATCGTTGTTCATTTCTTTCTTGTAGTAAAATAAAATAGCACAGTGGCATTCAATTGTTGAAAATGTTGATAACAGCTCGTGTGAACGATTGCCAAGATAACTGTTTTGATACATTTTGAAATAAGAACCGCAGATTAAAATAGCACATTTTTGTTTACGATTAAAGCTATGCGTAGGTTATATAAGACCACGAAATCTGCGCTATTAAGTGTTTAAAAAAAAATTAATCTATCAATTAAGAACCAATTAAGTGCGAATCTGCAAGAAGTTGGTAATTCAATACCGCACATATTTCAATTTTTTTACACTCCGCATAATTTAACAAAAATATTAAATCTATCGAAATTATCACCGTACCAAATAATAAGACATGTACGGTAAATGCAAGAGAGGGCCAAAACTTTAGAAGCCAAAAAAATAAATAAAAGATAAATTGAAAGCGTCTCTTACTTCTGTGTCTCATTGGCTTTTCGCCTTTGGGTCTACGTCTGCGCGTATGTATGGTGTCCCTCCGCATGGTGACCGGACGATTAACACCATGAAGCTTGTAGTACAACCCACAGGCATTGCATACCATCTCGCCCTTCATGTTTCTTCTCCAAATAGTTGTTGTCATGGTGCCGCAATTTGTACAAGACATGTCGACTTTTTTCGCAGCGTTGCTACTTTGCTGGTCGAACTGTTGCTTTTGATCATCCATCTGAAACAAGCGATCGGCGATGTAGCGCGCGGATTCACGGCTTTAGAATGGCGAGTCGATCGCGCAATAAATACCTTATGCTTCATCTTGTTCGACCACGTTGTAAAATCTTGCGCCTTTTCCTCATTATTGTGTTCATGTTGAAAATTTGCAACAACGTCCGGACTCACCGGTGCTTTACTGGGATAACTCTGCTTTCTGCGACCTTTCGTCGTTCCCGTTGTCTCCTTGCGACCGACGCTGGCGGGGCTAGACGGATTGCTGTCTATCGAGGCACTCTACAAGACAGAATATATTTTACTTGATTCACAAAACGGACTGTCCATCAACGTAAACCGGACTCGTGGATCTATTTCTTCCGCGCTTTATTAAGTGACGCTAGTGTGCTCAAATATTCACACAAGTTCATTGAAGTGTTAATTAAGTGCCTAAATTATAAAATTAGATAACAGTTCTTTTGAATATTTAATTTTTGTTTTTTAGGAACAAAATCTCAGTTAAAATTGCTTGGACATTTTCGAGCTCACGATCAAGTTTGATTCGAAACTCAGTTTCGTAATGCGAAATTGACACTTTAAAAATTTTATCGCAAATCAAAAATAATTAGCAAAGACGATACTTAGTGCCTAAATATCGAAGATAAAACTGCAGATAAAATTGCTTAAAAAGTAAAAATGAATTATTTATAAATTAATCAAAGAAAAATATTTATATAAGAGAATTTCCATGAGGAATAGGCTCGTGTGATAATATCACATCAATATATATGAAAAAGGCTAATGGAGCCACCGCTGGTTGTTAGTGCAAAATTTTTAATGTTTCTAACGTTCTAATTTTTAATGTTTTTAATGTATAGAAACTTGATTTGTCCGCATTGAGACATTAAAATGTACACTGATCTCAGATTCGAAATCATACATTCTGATTCTCGAATAATCGATGAGATCGATGTATGCATTTCTCGTACACTTTAGTATCTCGAATCTGAGATATATTGATAAAAATATTTGTTATTAACCTCTTATCAACCTGCATTGCCAAAAAGCGAAAGTGAATTATTTATACATTAATAAAAAACATATTTACTATTTATCATTATTCTTACGTTCCGAAAAAGATTACCCAACATATATTTAAAAAAAAAGTAAACTGTCTCAAATGTTAAATTGAATTATAAAAAAATTTAAGCAATATTTGTTTCATAAGAAATACGATAGAATTTTCTCCTTATATTTTGTATCACGAATCCTGTTAAGGTATCACAGGTCACACAGGTATCAAACGAAAAGAAACCAGAAAAAATTTAATGAAAGAAAATTCTACCTGAAGTAATATATGAATGAATAGATTTAAAGGGATTCTTTCAAAAGTTCAACCACTTCTTCGTTCTTTTCTTTCGAGTTATCAAATGCAGGTACCTGCAGTTCGCAAACTTCCAAGAAATCTTTTGTCGTACACGCACTGCATGCAAACGAGTGATAGAACTGATTCGTAGAATCATGGGATTTGTAGAATCCGTAGAAAGATTGAAGACATTCGCATATTTGTGTATTTTCAAAAGAACTTTCTACAGAACCTTTCTTAAAATTCATTTAACTGACCTTATTTTCTGAAGTTCGACTACCAAGCATAGGAAAATCGGTCTGCATACGTTCCATGGTCGTTCCCTGGGTGTCCCTATAGAATCTCATTTGCGGAGATATCTTGCCCGAATCGACGGCGGTGATACCGATTTGCCTGTTGCTGATCAAAGAGCGTAGCAAATTGGTCGCCTCACCGGTGTATCCATTGTTGTGCTTATCACCGTTCGTTCGTGTAATTTCCAAGTTTCTGTTGCTGCATTAACAAATACACATGGATACGATTATGCTAAAATTCATTGACATAAATTTAACGCATTAAGTCTCGTATAGCGAGTTGATATACAATTCTTTTATTACTAACTTTCAAAAAATCGCGAGACACTACAAGGTTTCCAAATCGATATCATATTTAGAAGCAAATTATGCACGAAACATATATTGGACTGTTCGCAAAGTTTTCTCACAATTTTATTTCCGTAGAAAAAAAACCTAGCAAATTTTCCGATCAATCAATTGCTTCTTAAAGCGAAAATTTTGATTAAAAAAGACCCTCTAAAAAGTAATTATTAAGATGAAATAAAATTTCTTGTACTTTATCTGCGTGTATATTGACTGTTTGCACAGCTTGAAGAGGTTAGCTAACTATAGCTAATCACTATCAAACAAGCAAATATTTGTAGAACAAACAGATTTTGTTTTCCTACCTGGCTAGGGCTTGCCACAGCTTGGTTGTCTCCTGATCGATGTTGGTGTCGGAGCAATTGCTCTCTGGAGTATCCATTCTGTTAACTGGGCTACAATTCGCTGTGTTGGACTCGGAGCCATCATAGTTGCTCTCTAATTTCATTCTCTTATTGACGGTCATATCGTAGCCATTTTCTTCGCCTTCCATCTCCTGCTCCTCGCAATCCTCAATCTCTAATCGTTCAGGATCAGAACTGTTGGAGCACGTGTCATCCTCTGGCTCACACTTAATATTATCATGCTCTGGCATATTGCTGTCTTGCAACTCTAGATGATGCCTTTGAGTTTGAGGTATTATACTTTGATTAATGCTGGCCGGCTCGGAGTTAGGCTCCTCGTTGAACAAGAGTCTGTTCAACTCGAGGAACGATTGCAGAGGGCTTTCGCCCGCTACTTTGGCAGTGGAGAAAGACTCTTTCTGGGAAGGAGAAGAAAAGGCGAGATAAAAAGTATCGCATACGTCCACATATTTCGCGTTTCAACAGAGATTTGGTGCAACAAATCAAATGCAATGTGCAATTTGTTTCTACTTAATTTCAAATACCAAATTAAATACCTGCTCGTCTGAAGACGAAAGTTGCTTGGTATAATCCAGGTACTGTTTGAGTATGATGTCAGACTTTTGCGACGCTTCGCGAAAGTTGTGCAGCACTTCCAACTTATATACACACCGATGGCAGATAATTCCTGGTAAGGAATCACCATCTTTTACCTATCAAAAGCAACATCATGTGTCGAGTTAATGTTGGTGAAAAAGCGATATTTTATCATAGAAGAATTGACTAATTTGAAATACTAATTCACTAGTACAAATGCACTTGATTAATTTCGATGCAAAAATTTTCCTTTTGACAAAACTAATTATATACAGTTTTATAGTTGAATAAAAATTTATTGTGCAAAATATTAACAGCAATTGTGGAATATCGATGGGAATTTTTCAACAATATATTCTATTAAACCAACGTTGAGTGGAAAATATATACCGAACGTATCAGATCGTTGACTCTTACTTATGTAAGAATTTCGAATAAGAGAATACGATCGCCGCGATAAAGTTGTATAATAAAAGATCTTTATGCTCGCAAAAACGAGCATGAGACGAATGTCGCGTGCTCGTAAGTCGCCTCGACGAATCAGCAGCGCTTCTAGTAAATTAAAAAAACGTTAAAGAGCTCGAGGTGAGCAGCGCGGATAACGCGCGCGGCGTGACAACGGAATTCGCGTGTGAAATATGATAACAGGCCACCCAAATAAGGAGCCGTAGCTGCCCCCCTCTATTGACTCGCGCGGCAGTAAGTTTATTCCGCTTCTCCGTTCCCGCGAGGGCTTATCACTGCCATTTTAAATGCCGTCGCCACTCGTCGTCGGTTTATCTCGCGGACACATCTCTTGCCAAACTTTCTCCCGTGGCACGCGCACATACACGTTCGCGCTGACGCGATCACGAGCACAAACGCAATCGCAAACGCGAAGACGAGTGAGCTAGAAAGAAACGGAGACAAGGAGCGACAAAGTCTCGCGATAGAGCGCGCAAGAGCGCCTCTAAACGAGCGAGAAAAGGGGAGAGAATCAGAGGAGGAGAGAGAAGGAAGGAGCGAGAGAGAGCACGAGACGACGCAACAGAGAGAAATACGCATACACACACATCGCGCGAATGGCACGTACAATTGCATTCGACGAAAATGAGAATAATTGCGAACCGCGACGCTCACCGTGATTGACAGGCACGCCAATATCCTTTCGGCAAAGTTCCGCTGGGTTCCATCCTCCTCCTCGAATATGGACAACTTGACACCATCCGGGGATAAACAAAGGCGACACAGCTCGTAGAACTTCCGCGGTACATCGAACATAATTGCGAGCTCCGGCTTGCCTGCGGCCTTCGTAAAGCGCGAGTCATCAAGAGACGTGCTCTATCAGCGGCCGTCGTGCGATCTTTCTCCACTGCCACTGCTCGCGTTTAGCGATGAGGATAGGGTTTACGCGGATCAGTTATCACAGTCACCGCCGCAGATCATTGTCAGCGGCATACAGTACACGCAGGTTTCTGAGATTACGCGGCACAAAGATGGGCAAGCTCGTGGAATCCAGAAGAAACATGACGATAGCGCGTAACTAGTTACTTCTAGGGTCTTTCAAGCGCGGGCGGTGTTAAGGCTTTTTTTTATGCCGATGTTTATCTTTTCGTCTATTATTACTGGAAATGTTATTGAAAGATGGAATTTAAGATAAAAATATTATTGTCACCATAGACGTATAATAAATATAGAGGATTCACACTGTGTCCGACGTACGACGTCCGATATCCAATAATAGAGCTTGTTTTCTAGAAATTTTAGCTAGTGATATTTTATCGTCTAGAAAACAAGTTCTATTATTGGATATCGGACGGCGTACGTCGGACGCAGTGTGAATCCTCCAATAAACTGCGCGTTTGGCTGGAAAGTTGTTTCACTTTAAAAAGAGACAACATATTTTGAACAGTAGCTTTCTTTCTCTCTGTCTATCAATATGCACCAATCAACGAAGACTTTTTTTCCCCCCTACTTCACTAGATAAAGATGAGACTACTGTTCAACATTAGCTGTCTCTTTCTAAAGTGAGGACATTTTCTTAATAGGGCAGAGATAGGAAACGCGCAGTCTATTATTATACGTCTATGATTGTCATCCAGTGAAGAATCTTTACTTATTTCGATTTAAACGATTTTTATTTTCTTATGAATAGGTCTTATATTTGTATCATCCTGTTCTTTTTACAAAATTTGTTTACTTTACATATCTATTTATTATTTTTTTTCTCATGTGTAAAATACGTCGGTCAGAAACACTAAAATTTCTCAAGTAAAATCTGGTTATTTTCAACTTTTTACTGATTGGCCTGAAATAACCGCCATGTTTGTTCCATTTCATTTTTCCCGCTGATCTATCATATTTGCAGGAAATGCATGTTTTTTTCCGAGAAAAAGTATAATAAACATTCTACAAAATCTTTTCTCGACAAACTTGGTTGTCCAGTTGAAACATTTTCTTGAATAATTAATAGTGTCTGAGATAATCGTGTGACAATTTTTAAATAGAATACTATGTGTATTTGCACGCACGCGTGCACGCACAACTATATAACAATATTTACAAAAATTTACAACTGTCATCGCATCGTCAGCAGACTGTAAGTACAAATAAATAGATCACAAATCTTTTTCACCTCTTATATTGAATAACAGTTTTTACGTTTAATCCAATCACAAATGCCGCATTATAAGAAATCAAAATTTAAAAACTTTTTGCTATTTACGGCTTATCTTATTGTATACAAATGGACACATTGAGGCACATAATGAAATAGTGAGGTAAGTTATTGTATAAATATTGCTCGTTTAGCATCTTGTGCCAATTCAAAACATTCCTTTTGATAAAGTATATCCAACATTTTAATCGCATAACTAATTGATCAAACCAATATAGATAAGAGAATTATTTAAGTTGGAATGATGATAATCTTTAAAACCAATGCAACTAGAGCTGGAAGACAGGATAGTCATATGTTTAAGGCTTCCTGTGCATATAAGAACCTTATACACCTAAGAATATTACATCAAATTCAAAATTCCTATGCATTGAATTAAGTTAGAATCTTGAGCCAAATAATCACTCGCATTTTTTCAACACTTTGTTGATGTTCTCACATTTTATTTTGCATTTATTAGGATTTCAAACATGCTTTCATCTTTCTATTGCATCGAGTTAGGCCAGCTCTAGAATCATCAGTTCTGTGCTTTTTCATCAATTCTAACTTTCTTTCATCCCTTTTAGAATTATAAAAAATGACAGTCAAACGAAAAATTTACTTTCTTACAATTTGGCATCGATTCATTGGCCAAAATGTCGAGAGTATTCCAAAATATGTACTATTATCTATCGTCACATGGACGTATCTTGATTAACATTTGTAAGGCGGAATCTATATCACAATTCGCTTCTTGTTGTCTCTCGTTTAGCAATTGGCGCATGTACAGCACTTTTAGAGTCGTAATGTCGTCCTTCTACCTGGTTTTCTAGCAGTCTAATAGCTTCGTAGTACTTGTGAAACTTTCTCCTAATCAATTGCGCCTTCTTTCGATCTCTGCTAAGATCAACGGTAGAGCCCAGAATAAAATGAATGTCTTTGATATGCTCTAATTTCAGAAGGATGATCTTGCGTTTGTTGCGCGCAATTTTTTTATCTAAAAAACTTAAATGCCGCCTTAGCTTCCGGTAGTCCCGCAAAAGTTCTTCAATAATATCTAGGCACAGCCATCGAGTTCTAGCTATACATTTATCCGGCGCTTCACCAGTTCCTGTTTGACACACATTGGTTAGAGCTTCGATGTGAGAATCGCCATCCAAGTTTGCCAGCACAAAGTTCAGCAGGTTTGGAATAGTGATAGGAACAGAAAACGGAAATACAGTGCTATCTTCTTTTCTGAAATTTCAAAAATAAATGTTATTAGATATTAAAATTTATTTCTTCATAGATAGAGCTATGTATTTTACATAAATGCGAAAATTATTTCAATAAGTAAAGAAAAAAAGAAGATAAAAATAAAGAATACAAAAAAAAAACATTTTGATTAATGTGCTTTAAAATTTTGATTTTAGAACACGTTAATAAAAATAATATTGTAGAAATTTGCATGATTAAAAAGCGCATTGAACACACCTCTTCGAAGGGAAGAATAAAATTGATGGAAAGTGATTCATGTTGTACTCCCATGGTAGATCATTGTTGTCTCCGTCGACTCTTACAAAAATGAGGTGATCCATGTTGGATAAATAATGCGCCACCGTCAAGTATACGTACGATATAGCGTTACAAAATCCGCAATACGGGGAATGGTACATTATAACGACATCCTGTAAAAAAATTTAATTGCCTATATTGGTCTACTTTATAAGTAATAAAGTATAATAATTAGCGAAATTTTAACATATTTTCAACACAAATATTTCACAATGTATGTTTACTGATTTAAGTTTAAATTAAAGTTTGAAGCATGAATATTACTTTATACAATTATTCATATATTGTTCTCGCTGCTAATTAAAGCACATTAATTCTGACTAACCTTGGATGGATCCAAGATAGTGTCCAAAAATGTTTCTGTGGTCAGCTCTGGTAGGCGAATTTTTGAATACAAATTCGCGTCCCTGCGGTTGTCCTCGTTGGGCAACTTCTGCGCTTTATCGCGAACATCATCGCCCTGCGAATTGTCCGAACGCAACGTTCGTTCCAACAAACCTTGCGTATATTTATTTATGAAATCGACGAGAGCGTGTTCGCTGAAATCATGATGCATGACGTACTGACTTTCTAGCTAAAATACAAAAAGAGAAATGGAGAGTGTTACAGAGACAGAAAAGAGAGAAAAAATATATAATTCGTAGAAATGTAAAAAATTATAAATCTTCCATTCCGCACACTTATTGTGTTAAAGTGTCCTTTTATCATTTCAAAACTTACCGTGGCGTCCAAGATGACAACGGCGGTTTTGTTTCTCCACTTGGAGATATCAATCCCAAGGTGCTCCGCAAAGTGAAAGTAACGCAAGCTGTCGATAGCTATCAAAGCCAGAGTCTTGTTGGTTTTGCAGACCGATTCCTTCAAGCTAATATTGAACTGCCTCGGAGAATCGCGTGGGAACAATGACGGATGGTACTCGTTTCCGGCCAACCATCTTCTGCAGTGCTCCTTCAAAAAGGCCCTTCTTATCATACTCGCGGAACGCGCGTCGTTCTCTTTATTCAACAAAGAAATTTTGTACTCCGCATCTGCGTGCAGCCTTGAAACAACATTACGTGAATTGCTGTGAAACAACATCGGGATTATTACGAGTGTTGCGCCGCGATTCAAACGCGCGATCAGTGTGTTACCTCTTCAATTCGTATTCTTCCTGCAGTCTCATCGTTATGTAATTGTTGTGGCTGTACATCTGCTGTCCGATTGTGATAGGAGTTGTAAACACATCGGCGCCCTTGCAAACGCCGTCGAATTTTTTAGAGACAGCTACACAGGTCTCTCTTTCTAGCAGATTCACCGTCTTCGTCTTGCACGAGGGACATTTGTTGGTCGCGACATTCGAGCAGCAAGTGTTGTTGCTCCACTGCTGAATCGACACGCTGGCAAACGATTCCTTTACCCGCTCGATGTAGGTTGTAGGTCTGGTTTCGTTCAAGAGATCGGCGCACTCTCGATTTTTCGCCAAATGACGGATCTTGGCCGTGTGCCGTCTCGCTTCCAAACGCGCGACTATGTCCTTCGCCAGCAGATTGTCCGCACAATTGTAATATTGCAAGCCAATTTCTCTGATCTGAAAGATAAAAAGACGATTGTCAGTAAAAAGCATACAATATTAGCATTATTTCAACAAACATACATTCTAATTTTCTCATTTCGGAATTGCAAATTGATGACATAGCTTTCAAAAATTGCCTAAAGTTACCAGACGCACCAGATTGTAAATATAGTTTTCCATGTGGAGCGGATTTCGCGGTGTGAAAAGAAATAAAACTGGTCCCTCGCGCAAATACGGCGCAAGAGTGAGCGCTTTGACGCCGGGCGGCTGCAGCCAGAGGGACGGTTGATGGATAGAAATGCTGATCCAATTCAGAATACTCTCTGAAGTCCACTCATTGTCTTCCGGATAACTCTACAAGTTTTTAAAGCTGGTATATTATACAAAGTGAGTTGTTGGATTGACGCGCTGTACACTTACTAGAGATTCATTCCACATGAGCAGACTCGCTGACGGAAGCTTGTACACTCCGTAATTCAGCTCGCTCGACGACGCGCTGGTCACAATGGCGAACACCAGTTCTCTATTAGGATCTCTTTCCAGCGAACGTATCGCAGCCTTGTAGAATTCTCGATACCCAGGCATCCTGTCCAATCGTGTGAAATTAAAATATCCTACAACCACCGCCTGCAAGTAGATCATAATCAACGGGCGAACATATATTACATTCGTTATTTCATAAAAATTTAAGTATAATTAAAACTATTAAATTACAATGTTTGAACACTTTTAGAATCGAAAAAATATCACAAAAATTTTTCATTGATAAAATATAAACGTACTGAAATATAAAGAGCAAAATTGCGTGCGTTAAATATTATTATTGGCACCAAAAAAAGTCAGACTGAAGTGTTTATTTATTTCATATTTTTGCGTGAACAATTGGCTCTTTTTACTCCTTTATATTTCAATTTTGATATTTAATTATCAGAATCTTTGTAATTTTAAACTGACTTCCTCAAGTGACAAGTTTCTGTTGCAATAAGCAGTAATTGGTTGAAAAACAATTATTTTCTTACTTCACACTTACGTCATAGGTGACCAACAACTCCATCAATTGTTCCTTATGCGTTATCCTAACAATGGGATTCATAAGTGCATTGAGAAAACGAATCATGTACGGCGCTGTGCGAATCCCTCTGTAATTGATACCCGAATCTCTGGATGGATACAACATCAACACCGGATAGCCGTGGATCTTATTATACTGCTTTCTGCACTCTGAATCGGGATGCCAACAATTAATGGCTGCGAAGAATATCTAAGAACACACAAGTGCTGTGTGTGAATAAGCGCTCAGAGTCTGCGCAGGCTCTTACGGTGGAAGGAATTTATATACTTGTGGATGATAAAACCGAGCGACGCTCTCAAACTCGTGTCGGAGCGCCTGGCTCTCCGCGTCCCAAGGTGCGTAATACATAACGAAACTGAAGTCCGCTTGTGTGACTCTTTCAATCATCGCGTCTAAGTGACCCTTGTAGAAGTCCAGCACTATGGAGCCCTGGTTGAAGAACGGTCTCGCCACAGGCGGCTTGGAAATTTTGGGAGGCCTGCAAAATTCAAGATATAGACAGCCTGTCGATGTACGCATATGTTCGCAACGCGGGACGACAGCCCCGAGGACTCACGAGCTGTGCAGAGCGGCCAGAGCGGTAAAGGTGATGGCGAGGAAGAAACAGACGATCTCGTAGGAGAACATTTTGGCGGCCAGTCGCTCCTCTATCGCAAACCTTTCCTTGGCCATCTCGTTGCTCGTTGACTCGGACGTTGACGTGGACGCGATTTGGTGCAGCAGGTTATCGGCATTTCTCGATGGATTCGTCTCGCGCTCCTCGCCGGACGTCTGTCCAGCCATTGCCCGTCCGCCGGTGATCACCACATCATCGTCGTCGTTCGCACTTCTCGACGGCGGCTAACCCTCCCCCCCATCCCCCACCCCCCGCGGTTATATTCCGATTTATTCGATTAGGGGCGATTTTAAATCGGCTTCTCATGTACTCGCTCGATCAGGAAGCACGAAATCGGTACAAACACGTCTCGCGGTAGGATGCGCAAAAGACTCGCAGGAATTTGGAGCCACTGCTGGATTCCAGATCGAACTGAGCACGGTGGCGATGACACAAGTCGATGCAAATCAGCACAGCTGCGAAGCGAAGTCGAAACATTTGCGTCGGAGCGGTGCCTCTCGTACGGTAAAAATGTTTTCATCCGCGTCAATCGATAAGTTCCTTTTTGTTTCCACGATGAGCCGAGAAATATAAATATAACAATAATTGACGTAAGGTCAGACACTTTTTACGTTTGTAATTTATGTAGAAATGCAACAATTCAATAATTCACCCAATAGATTTCCCAATTTTTTTATTACTATGATTTATTCAATATATTCAATATTATTATTACTTATTATTATTCAACTTTATTTTTTTCCAGCTTGTTACAGAAACAAAAAGTGATCGATATTTATTCGAACCGATTATACGAGCATGTAATGTTCATCAAACTAAACAGAAAAGCGTCTTGACAAGCATCGGTCTAAAAAAGTTAAATAATTGTTTTCACGAAAACTGAAATAGAACGCGAAGATCTTGTTTACACGGCTTACTTATTTACGGAATCTAAGCCCATTAGATTTGTTATATCAATCGATACCTTGGCTGAATCAACGAAGCGAGTCGAAAACTGTTGTCAACATATAACGGGAAATAAAACTGTCAAAATGAACAGGGGACATATCGAACATCTGCTGTAGATTGAAACTAACTGACGTAATTTTTCGTCGCAACTCTGAAATAAATAGTCCCTGAATCAATGTTTATTAAGACTTTTCTTTTTATTTCGACGAATGTTACATGCTCGAAAAATTTCGTACTATTCTCCATCAACATTTAGATATTAATATATAGATAACATGTATACATATCGCATTGAAATTTCGATTCTCCCATTTGGATGTTGCTGTACGTCAAAGTGGCCGTAACAGGTTCGATATGTTCGGATCTACATATATGCTTCAGAAAGTTTCGTTTGTATCATAAAAAAAACACCATTATGCTTTCAAGTATTTTATACTGGCTTCGAATGCAGTGCGAGAAGTTTCCATTACATGCTGTTATATCTTCGAGTGTTGCGAACATGCCGCGGATGCCATTTTAAGGGCGCGACTCTCGTCCTTGCAATTTTGCGACTTGTCCGCCCGACATCTCAATTTCCGTTCTTTGGGGATGCTTCCTTAAAGAAGAGCGCTTAATGACAAAGAGGAGTGTCTGTTAAATAGGTATGGTAATACATGTACACCATTTTACAGAACTCGAGAATAGTCTTTAGTACAAAATCTGATATTGTGTATACAGCCGTCGATATATCGTCATTTTCTTCCTTGTATTTCGACGCGTGTGTCGCATCTCATGCTTGAAAAAAAAAAGAAAAAAAAAAGAAAAAATAACTTAACTAAACTTATGCTCGAATAAGACTGTCGCTTCTCACGTACGACTATATTCCGCTTCGTGAGAGAATGACTTCGGTATCTAATAAGTTGCGAATTATCGTGCGATGGTGTTGTATTCGTTTCCGCCTTTCGGTCTCCAAAGTGGCATCTGATAAATCGAAATTATTCTCTCAAGGAACAGAGTATATATATATATATATATATATGTATTTATATATATCTATTGACTGTCCATATATGTATATGTATATATATTTATATATACACACATATATACGGTACTGCATGTATTCATACACATTTCTAACGTGTGGCGTACACATACGTAGTAAAGTGCCCATCGGAAAGCAATCGGCGTCCATCTCTCTTCGATCTTCCTCCTTTTTCCCCCCTTTTTTTCTTATTAAAAACATGAGTATTTTTTCGAATGCGCGATCGCAGGTAATAGCTACTTTAATATGAATTTTAAATATAATTGTAAGGTGTTCAACCCTGCTTACACGATTACACCAAGAGTAATCTCTACCTAAAGTTACTTGTGCGTTTAGTAAATATGCATAATATTTTAATACGTGTCGATTCCTGTTCACAATCGCCCGCAGCGACTGCTGTCGCCGTATCGAGAATTGTTTGCTTTTACCTCCGCGCTATTCGTTCGGTTGAATGTCGATCGATTTTAAATCAAATATCCCTCGCTCACTTTGCACAACTTGGAAGGATCATTGAAGGAATTGGCAATCGCGCATTTTTTGCAGTTTGTTCTTTTGGTAGATCAGAGTCGCTTAAGTGGTTCTCAACGCTTTCGATATTTAGAAATTTACAAGCTTAAATATTTGTTATTTAATTTACTTATAGAACATTGCAATTAGGCATTGTATAGAATAATTAGGTCTTGTATAAAATACTTGGTTCTCTCTCTCTCTCTCTCTCTCTCTCTCTCTCTCTCTCTCTCTCTCTCTCTTTCTCTCTCTTCTTTCTCGAATATAGGATGAAAATTTCTCCGATATTTATAAGTTTTTCCTCTCCTAGTTTACATATTTCACCTAGTTATTCTATAAGATAGCTAGCCGTTCTACGGAATAATGATTAAAAATTAATTAAACATTATCGAATCAGTTTATCAGTCATATTAAAATACACAAGATTGACATTATACAGAAGACATATTGTAATCATTCATTTATACACAATTAATAATTTAGTATTTAGCTAAAATGTACAAAAATGCAATTTCACTTCTCACTAGGACGTTTGAAAGATCAAAACATATAAATATTTGAACTTGTGCTCGCGTAAAGTGTCGAGTATATTCACAAATGAAATAAAAGTTGCAGTTGGACATCGTACATTGCGACTGACTTTTCACGTTGCGAGGGAAATTGTAAACTTTGCCGAAGAATAATATTATACAATTCTCATAATAAAATATATAATATATACAAATAGAATACCTATAGAAAAAGTCAAAACTAAAAAAAAACTCGATTGAAGAATCAAAAAAAGCCCTTTCTTTGTTTGACTTTCTCTCATATACATTACATACTTTATGTTGGAAACAAAGTTTTCTATGAAATTATATATTTTACAAAATCATTAAAATTATACATTTATTTAAAAACGTACTTTTAAAATCATATTTCGCAAAGTTCAAAATTTTAGACATTTTTATACTATTCTTTATTGCAAAGATCAAACAGTCAGTACAGCCTGGGTAGTAAATTGCATGTTAAAACATAATTTACTACAAGCTGAAATAATTTTTTATAAAGAACCTAATTTTACATGCATATATATAATATATATATATACACAATTTGTAGTAAAAAATAAATCAAATAATTGAAACTGATGAATAGATGCCGCAATAGATACAAAGAAAATCTATCCGAAAAATACCCTACATCTTAAAATTGAATAATATCTTAGTACTTATTAAAATTCGCTGATATATCTCGCTTCTAACCTCCGACGTTTATTCTACAATGGTCTCTATGAGATAAAGACGACTGAGAACCACCGGACCGAAAACAGTTTAACATCTCATCACCTTATTTGCGAGTGCGAAATTACGGTGGATCGAAGATGCGGTCTCAACAATTAGGCTCCGTGACTTCGTTGAACAGCGGCGTCAACGAGTCCACATCTTGCAGGCCGTCGAAATTACCGAGGGGATCCAAGTCGTCCGTCTCCGTGTCGGCTTCGTCGAGAAAGTTCGCGTCCAGGAGTTCGGCGACGTTTCTGCAAAAGCTGTTGGAGGACGCGGTCGGTGCGTCAACGGCGACGTTCGACGTGTCGCTCTGCAGGCTGAGAGAATTGAGAATCGGGCTGGACAGCATCGGTTCGCCCGCGTCCCGATACACCTCCTGCGACTGCATCGTGTGCAGAGGCGTCGACGGATACGATCTAGAGCCGTTGCTGTCCTCGGTGTACGATGGCGTGTACGCGGACACCGCCGCCGGCAGCGGCGTGTTCGGGTACGAGCGCGACTGAATGATCTTCTGCAGCGTGCTGCCGGCGACGCCGAGGATAGACGGGTCCATCATGTCCTCCTCCGACAGATTCAGATTGGCATTCGGCAAGGAGTCGAGGACAATCGCGTTGCTCAGCGTCTCCTCCGTCGTCTGCTCCGGCAGCATCTGGCCATCCTCGTCCAAGATCGTGAGAATATTGTTGATATTCTCGGTCGTGATCTCCTTGTCGGTCATCAAGAACTGCTGCTCGTCCGACATGAAGTTTGCGTCGTCCAGCAGGTACGCGCCCTCCTGCCCGACGGCGGTGCCGAAGTCGTTGTACTCGCTCGGCACCGGGGTAGGCGCGATGGAACTGCTCGTCGACGGGTTGAAGCTCTGACTCTGCACCGTCGACAGGCAATGGTGCGCGGAAATCGGCGACATCAGGGACACGGGATTCACCATTCTGTGCAGCGGCACCGACTGCGATCTGTAGAACAATTGCTCGTTGCTCGAGTGCCTGCCGGCATGGAGAAGCTCTGTGATTTCCTGGTCGGGCGGGGGCGGCTGGTCCTTTTGGTACACGTTCTTGATTTCCTGTAGATTCTCTTGGCTCGGATAGTTGATCAGCAATTGCTTCTGAGGCGTCAGGTCCAGAAATGCGGTGCACGGTGGTCCCTTCAGGACGACCTGCATCGGAAGATATTTTATATAAGCACTAAGAGCTTGACTTGCAAAATGTAAAGACTATCTGTTCTGTTTTTCAACCTCGTCCTCTCTACGTGGACTAGCGTTTCAACATGAATTGTATTCAATACTAACTTATTTTCTACCGAACTACAATCGGGTGGAAAGGATGATTTTAACGTCTTCCACATCTTTCATGTGATGTTGAATTTTGCGAGCGAATTTTCCGTTTTATTGTATTTTTATTAATGTACACTGAAGAAGGTCTGGTGGCAGGTCGAAACGTTTGATTTTATGTAAACAATTTTAACGAATACATTTTAACCTTCGCACGAGGAACTAGCATTGTGGCTCTTTACGCTCCTATTGATTTTAATTGATTTTAGTAATCAGCTGAGCCTTATATATTATTAATTTTCTTTTTTTTATTTTATTTTATATAAGGCTTCCAAATTTCAAGGGGAAAAAAACAAAATTAATAGTTGTACCAAAATTGTCAGCAAACGTGCTTCCACAAAAACACTTATTTTGACTTATATTAATTAAGAAAATTGTGATTTTTTATTCGCACATTTCAACAAACCTAAATTCATAACTTAGAATTGCAAAAAAATTGCATCAAATTTATTACTGTTCCAATAATACGACGAATTTGAATATCTCTCACAGAATCCGTTAGCCAAAAATATTCGATCTTCATCTCACCTCCGACGACTTAGTCGTCGCCACCAACACGTGTCGCGTGGGCTCCGCGCCGCTGGACGTCGGCACGATGAAGGTGTCGGTCGTCTTGATCGTGTATGGCACGCTGCACGAGATTGAGCGGGAAAGCGTCTTCTGGCCGCGCGATCTGGAACTGACGGCCTGCAAATTGCTGCGCGACCGCGGCACCGGGGTGTTGCGCGGCGAGACGAACGGACTCGCGTTCGCCGAGTTCGATTTGGACGCGCGGCCGTTGATCGGCGAGTGCGGTCCGGGCGAGATCGGGGTGAAGTTGAATATCCTGCGTCGCGTGTTCGGGCTCTGCGGCACGGTGTTGGTCGCGCTCGGCGTCGCCGAGGTCTCTTGCGCGTGCTCGACGACATTCGTCTCGAAGCTGACGCGACGGCGCGTGCTGCTCGGGTTCGGATGGTTCAGGAGGGTCGGCAGAATAAGGTTATGTTTCTGGGAGGAGTCCTGCTTTTCCGCGGCGACGCTCTGCCGGACGATGGTCGCGGGCGCCGGCTCGGCGGTGACGATGGACGCCTTCAGGTTCTGCTGCAGTATCAGCCGCAGCTGCGACACCTTGTCCGAGCGCGAGATCTGCTCGTCGGAGCCGACGACGCCGGTCTCCACGTCGGAGCTGGACGAGCTGCTCTGCTGGAAGTACTGCAGCAGCTCCTCCTCCTGCTCCTGCGAATTGTTCCCGCCGTTCAGATAATCGTCCAGGGCGTCCGTGTCGATGCTCCGGAGCTTCTCGTCCTTGAACACGGGCGTATCCTGCAAAAGACGGATCTGGTCCCTCGTGAGGAGTCCTGAGGACGCTTCCACCGCGCCAGTGGCGGAAAAACTCCTCGACGAGATGATATCACAGTTTTTAATGAGCTGACTGTCCGCAGTCTCGACCGCTTTGCACCTGATGGATCGCGGCTTACCGGCCAATATTACCGATATCTTGCCGGCGCGTTGGATAGACGCCAGCTTGGTCAGCAAAGCGTTGGAATGATCCGGGCTTTCTTCTGCAAGCTTCGTCTGTTTCTCAGGGCTGGGCTCCTGTTGCGTTACAATTGGATTATTGGCACGTTTCCTGGAATTTTTACCTTTGACATCGCGCTGTGCGCTCAACATTACTCTAGAGTTGCTATTCTGTCCGTCGTCGCGCGATTGTACCACTAGATTATCACAGTTAGACTCCTGGGGGATATTGCAGGGCTGCTGCTGTTGTTGTTGCTGCTGCTGCTGCTGTTGCTGCTGTTGGATGGCTTTCGATACTCTCTTTTGTCGATTGAAGACTACAGACAGCTTTGCCAGCGAATTTTGCGCGGCCAGTGTTGTCACTGAGGTTGCACCTTGTGACGACTGGTTGGATTTAGCTTTCTTACATCCCTTATGACTGACATTTCCTTTACTGTTGACGGCCTTCTCTTTGCTCTGCGAAAAAACAATTACATTCTGTAAGAAAACAAGTTTCGCGAGTAATCAACAGTTTTATCAGAATTCTATTTTATGGCTGAGCCTTCTAGAATCGTAAAGAAATGTACACTGATTACAGGATTTAATCAAACCTGTCAAGTTAAATGTTGGCAAATGAAAGGTTAGCCGGAAAAACAAAATTTACCGATATCATTCACATGAATTTTTTATATATTTTCGCGTAAATTGAAAGCGCATACCTGTACAATGGTATCAAGACCATGTTTCTGGTCCTTTATATGTTCGCGTTGCTGAAGCTTGCGTTGCAACTGCAGCTGAGCCTCTCGAAGCTTAGCAGGCTTACCACTCACAGGTGTTGTCGGTAGATCCGAGATCGCCTCTGGAGAATTTAACGATCGAGAATTAAATTGCGAAAACAATGGGCATTCGATGAAACTAATTTTCATGTGCTTACCTTTGTCAGACGAGGCATTGCGCTCGTCCGAAGCAGACAAAATGCACACAGCAGCCAGAGATCGAGTATTGACACAGAGATTATCAACAAGATGCCGCGCTAAGGCACTCAAATTTTGAAATTTCAGGCCCAACACGCTTTCTGCCCATTCTCTTATCAACGTAGACGCAGCGCCTAGCATTTCCTCAGTAATGCTTTCCTCCGCATGCTCCTCCTTAATTCAACAATAGTCAAGTGTTGTACATTTATTTTGGAAGCTAAATAGTTTGAGTGTTAATATTTAGATAATAAAAGCACTAATATCTAATGTAACAATTGCCGTGTAATGTTGCGTGACAAAATGTACACGATTTAATTTAAAATATAAGAGATTAATAACAGAAAATGTAAGCAATTTTCTACCGAAAAGTATTCATCGATAAATGAAGCAAAAATATAATGTACGTAATACTGTCTAGCTTGTTTGTTGCTCACAATTTGAAGGTCAGATATCTTTGGCAATGTCGGAGGATCCAATTTAATTCGCTTGCGCATTCCTGCGTAACAGTAACGAGAGTTGCCTCGTGTTCCTAGACGGCGAGGACGTACTCGCGGGTATACTTGTTTCATGACTTTTCCGAAGTCCGCTGTCGATAGCGGCTTCATAGAATTTGTTATACAATACATGCTGAAAATATTGTTATACAATACATGTTATACAAGATATGATATGATATCATTAAACGTTTCTTCAAAAACATTAATACAAATAGATAACAAAACCTTTCTTTCATTTTTCCATTCTAAATTTCTAAAGATTAGATAGGAAAATGTGATAAATTGAGCATGTAATATTTTTCTTTCGAGCCACAGCGTTAAAAAGAACAATGTATAGAAATATAACAAGCGCTTGAAAACGTGGCTTCCAAAAAACTTTTAAACAATGCTCATGTTGCTTCAGAAGAACATTTTTATTAGATTTCCTCGACAGAATATTAATGTGATATACAGACAACTTACTTGTATTCGTCATAGACTTCTTGCTTCGGTAAGGATACTTCTGGATCTTCTTCCAAGTGTGTCTTAATCCACATAATAGTCTGATGAATTTCATAACGATTTCCTAAGGGATTTAGTGGCTGTCTCAGTGGATCGACAGTCCCATTTGGATTTGTCAGCAGTAATGGAAATTTCAGGTACAACAATAACTTTTCTTCTATCTTGAGTTGTTCCACTTGAGAATAGATTTCATCCACACGCCCTCTAGACTCTTCACTGTAATTTAAAGAAACAAACTTGTATTACTAAAATGTATTATTCAGAACGATGGAATTAATCTTTCAAGAATAATAAATACACGTAAGCAATATAGATTATTTAACATAAAGTTTAGTTTTTAATGTATGACAATACAGATATCTTATGAAAAGTAAGAGAGTTTATATATTTGTATTGAATATTTTTATCTTTATGTTTTAAATAAAATATAGATTTACTTGTGATTTAAAAGATATTTGACTACATGTGTGACTGTAAAGTTCAAGTTTATCATAACGTTATTCTACTAATCGTTTAAACTGTATTCGAATAATGTTGAACAATATAAAAAAACATTGTCGTATGCTCATTATATTCTGTTACATATAACATTAAAATTTTCTGAAATATTTTGTCTAATTTAAAACAAAGATGTAACAGGAGTTTGTCTTGAAATCTTGATGCAACATCACACACGTGCAACATTTGTACATGTTGCAGCTCATTGTTTGTAAGCGCTGGCGCTTCAATTATTGAAAACTCTACACAATTCATTGAACAATCTATTAACTATTTCCACAGTTATCCCGCTGTCTGTGAAAAGCTCAGTTCGAGAACTTTACAGCCATACATAAGACATAAAACGAATAAAGAGAACTGAGACACGTGACGACCACATAAGATTTGTTCGAGACTCAAGATCGACTTAACCTAATGCCATCCTCTATCATAATCCGAATCTTGTCCTGCTTGGAGGAAGCACCGTGATTAGCCAGTGCCGCAAACTTGGTCGCAACGAGGTCTTGCAGTAGATCACTGTCCCCGTGAAAGCCATTCGAAGCAAATCTACCGGCCGGCGGATGTCGTTTCTCGACGACGGCAGGAACGGTGGTGGCGGTAGCGGTGGCGGCGGCGGCGGTGGCTGTGGCGGACGAGGTAGAGGCAGCAGCGGCGACGGTAGCGTCGCCATTCTCCACACAAATGTCACTGCGCTCCTTTTTAATCCGTTTACCATCAAACGCGCTCTCCTCCTCGCTCCTCGCAGGTGTCTTGCAGGGTTTTGTCTGATCATGACTGTCAGTACTCATCGTAGCCCAAACCTCCCCGTCCCGCCCGTCCCGCCCCGGTCGTAGCTCACGTATGCGGAAACGTATCGCCTCCCGGTGCACGGCCGCGGCGAATTACCATTTTGTTAGCACGACTGTCAGCTGGGCTACTCGTCCCGGCGCGCCATTATTCGACAAGAGCCACCACTCGCGCGAGAGAGCTACCACACGGCTCGCCGGAACGCGTATGAAATGCAGCGACGCGCGGATCCGTCATAACGGCACTGCGCGCGGTGGCCGCGTCGATGCGTGCGCCCGTCCCGAAAACGCCAGAAACCGGATGCGAATCGGATGAATACTGCAATTCGATACCGGCTACGGTGGACCCGCGGTCGTACGTTCGCTTATTCGCGCTTCGTTGTTCGGTTTGCGCGTTGCTACTCCATAGAGTTACCATAGAGTATGCGCATACATCTTGAAGGGCGACGTCCGAAAGCGCTCTAACGGCACACTTCTCTCCGCGGCATGAAAACACGGCCTTGTCCACCAATCGCGTCTCGCGATGCGTGCGAGATTTGTCCGCGCGCGACCAATCGAACCGCTGGACAAACATCAGTTCGCTCTTCCGCCACGCGCGTCGCTGCAATTTTTGTATACTCGAATAAAAAGCTCGTGCGATCTTTCTAATTCTAATTTTACATTTGACACTTTTAACGCAAATTTAATATTCGATTTTTTTCGTGCTGGAAGCAAATCGTTAGATGAGAATATTGTAGAAATCAATGGACGCGACAGCGCCGAAAAGTAGGTAAAAACAATTAAGTTATATTACTAAAAATATTAGAATCGTGCCAAGCTTGTTTCTATTTTTAATTATCCGCCTTAATTAAGATTAATTATTCTGGCTATTATTTAAATCTCTTTATATAATCAAAGGTTCTGTACAGGAAAAAAAAAACCGATTACATTACATATTTATTTCATTCTATTCTCTATAATCGTAAATATAGCAATATATCAAAAAATCAGATATAAATCATATTATTTAATCGTTGCATGGTATAATTCTTTTTTGTTACAATAAATGTGTCACATATTTGATGTTCAGATTCCTTTTTATACGGAATATCGGTAATCCTAGGCTATTTTTATTCACTAATTAGAATCGGTTTACAGGGGGCCTGCCCTACATTTGGGAAAAGTTCGTCTTACCTTTTACCTCTTATCTTTCACTGACCGCATGGTATCTGCACGCAATACTCACAAAGTGGAAAGAATGGCCGCGGCTGTGTGTGCGAGCGGTGGGCAAGAAGCAGCACTTTCATTGTTCTTCGATGTCTCGACGCGAAAAGAGGTGCGAGGTGCGATTTTGCGTGCGTTATCACAAGTGCCAGTCGACGTGCTTGTCACTGAAAGTGATTCGAATACTCCACGAAGTAAGTGTGTGATTTCTTTTTTTTTTTTTAAGAATTGCAGTACACTTAAGTGACAAATTCAAATATATGTACAGTGAAAGCCTATGCCAATTAGAGCGGTAAAAATGTCGGGGGAAAGGAGGCGACAACGCAAGCGCTTTTTAACAGTTTGAACAATGCGTGTAAGATTTTTCAACATTTTTCCTGTTTTTCGAGAAGTTTCTGTCTTTTTTTTTTTTGTACTTTCCGTTGTAATGCAAAATTTTCCAAACAAAATTTTGTGACTAAGAAATGAAGCAGTGTGGCATTATTTGAAAAAAAATATTCATAAATCTTATCAGCTATTGTCTCCGAACCCCATTACTTGTTTTCAAGAAAACACACCGTCAAGATTCACTGCAATAAATCACTGACATTTAAAAACGGAATTCGAAATTGAAGGATTTTTTAAATATAAAACATGACAACGAAATAATGAATATTAAACTAGCGATAAAAACGTGACAACATAAGCCACAAGTAGTCACTGAATAAAAAAATCCATTCACAATTTAATTTGTATTTCGAGCGCACAAGAATGAAAATTACTCGCAGAATATATTTTACTAATTCAGTATAAAATTCACGTGTAGATTCATGTCGCATCCAATGCGTGTGTATCGTCCTCGCACACTTGGATAAAGGAATAGGAAGCAAGGAAAGAGTTTCGCTCAAATATTTCGCACCGCGCAAAGTATCGTAAGTACCTATTGAATACGACCAAAATGATTAACGGAGCGCGAGAACACGCCAGCGGGATGAATGGATTCTGCATTAGCATATATAAGAGCAAACAATGCAATTTCGCCATAGGAACGTCGTGGAATCTCACGCAACTTGATTCGCCGCCTGTACCGCTCATAAACAGTAACACAATGCACGGTGTCTCTGTGTACGCGCGTACTTGCGACGGCGCGAGTCATTGACCAATTAATAAATAGAAAATATGAAATATCGCCACGTTACGCGTCGGATTTTCCACGATATTTCAATCAGCGCGCCGCATTTATCTGTAAATTAATTGAAAGATAGATTTTTTTTATTGAATTAAAAAATGTATTAATTAATCTTATTGATTTTGTCGAATTGTTTCTTCGCATCTGATTGTGTCAAGAACGACGCTATCAGATCTACAGATGCGTATCGCTCCGCCCGCGCGGCAATTAACGTTAATGAGCCACACAACAAATATCGTACTTCCTAGTTTCACACAAGCCAACTATCGTTGACGGTAAGCGGAATGGAGACGCTTTCATGCTCTGTTTCGGGGACTTCAGTCCACTGAGTTTCTACAGGATGTCTTGGGAGATATTTTAATGACGTACACGAGGCACGCAGCATAGGCGGGCGTGTAAACCGTAATCGTCGCTGAAAAATGCAAAAATTTTATTAAGCGCTATTAATTAAACATCGCTTCGGTCATCACTTTTTTTAGTCTTCTTCGGGTATTTTCTTTTCTGTTAAGTAAAATTCTTTTCTCGTCATTAACCGATGTTTTTAATTCTTTTTTGAATTGTATAATAGTTGACAAAAGCAACGTTTCCTCTTCTTCAATGCGTTTTGAAATCCGCCGAAGTTGTGAAGACGATATTACGAAAGTCGTGCATGCTGAAACTCGTTAAAGAGAAAGTGTCTCAACTCGGTTGTGCTTGCAAGATATGTATACATAACAGATAAAATCGCAATGCTTATCGCAGGTGATGCAGCTCCGACAGTTGGCAATTTGGCTATTCATGCTCTCGTCGACCGGTATCGCGTACGCCGGTTTTGGCAATGGGAACGCGTGCAGCGGACCGCTGGAGCGTGCACTGGACGCGCTTCATAGGGATACTGCGAAAAGAAACAAATTGGACGAAAAGGAAGCTGGAACGTCATATCAGCGAGAACTGAGTTCCGCCCCTTTCGAAATGTCCGTCTCTCGTATAGCTGTAAAGGTATTGCGATTGTTAAATCGACTTTGCTTCGATATTACTTTGTTCTTGAAAAATTAAAATTTATATTCACACGAATATATATTATAAATTATTCCTTATCAACCCTGATGGAAATATTTTGCTGAAAGTACTATGAAATCAATGAAAAGTAAAATAAAAGTTTTTGAAAAATTACTGAATATATTTCAAAATAAATCATAATTTTCCGTATGAAAATTTAATGTAATACTATGAAATATAAGGAAAGTTAAAATTTACTGCTGAAAAGTAATAAATAAAAGAGTTTTGAAATAATTATCCTTATGAAATTTACTGAATTAAACTGAAAACTGTTACTTTATAATGAAAAATTGCTGAAATATTTACGAAACTAATTAATGGGGTCAATTGAGAGAAATTTTCAAATACATTTCAGCAAAATTTCGTTAAATTTTCAGAAAAATATTTCCATCAGGGAAGTGCTATAATTTTTATTATTCCGCAGATTCTTCTCTAATTTATACTATTTTTTATAATTTGGAATATACAAAGATTCAATTCCGAGAAATTAGGTTCCAAAACTAACGCGTGTGTGTGAAAACAATGAGTGGATTGTTAATGCAGTTGAAATTGCTTCGCAGCTGCCGGAAAACACGAAGGAGTCCGGAAGTCATTGGGCGCGGGTGGAGCAATGCATGTACGAGCCCAATCGCCACGCTCTGAGGACGCGCGTGGTATTCAACGATCTCTCGGTGTCCGGCATAGTGTCTTTAATTCCGCGAGATCATCACGCCCTGAATCTCGCCGAGTCCTGCAGAATGACACTGCGACTGAGGCGCGCGGGCATCGACTTTCTCACCAGCCCGATCGCGCGCGGACGCGGCCAGATGCGTATACGCACGGAGTCCAGCTTCCTGGAACCCAGATTCGCCTCGATCTACGCGTACGGCTGTCACCCCACGCGCTTCGACAAGCAAATCAAGCGGCAGGACAAATGGCCGCCGTATCATTCGGCGAGCGAAAAGGTGAACCGTGAATGCAACTTGTTTCACGATCATCTCACCTGAAATAAGCGTGAAAAGTATTTCGAGAGAATCGCGAAACAATTTATTCCTAATGCATTTCGCTATCGCGGCGAAAGCTGGTCGCTGCTAATACGAATTTCGACGGCAAGATCAATTTGTCGCAACAGCGTAAAATTTGCCGCGCCAGCAAAATCTCTATTCGCGCGCGTAAACGATGATTCATTATCGATCTTACCGTTTGTCACAGGTAACGCCGACATTATCGTTGCTCCTGGGAGCTGCGAACAAGTATGACGCGGCGGAACCGAGACAGCTGGCGGACGTCACCGAAGAGGCCGACGTTATCATACCGAACGAGAGCCGACATCCGCGTTACTCGCACGCGCCCGAGACGAGCTTCGGTATTTGGAGGAAGAATTCCTGGATCACCAAGTCGGTGCGCCAGAGACGTTCGACGACTCGGCATCGATTCGCGCGCGCCACGACGGTCGTCGCGGATGCGTTGGAGACGAAGTCGACGGGGAAATCTCTGAACGTCACCGCGAGTCTCAATTTGACCGACAGCCTTCAGAGCGAGGATCCGCCGCAAAACGTATCCCGGGCAGTGAGACAGCTCGCCGTGGACGACAATCTATTCCCTATCGATTTGGAGGATCCGAACAAGAACTGGCAGTCGAAGGAGCATATCACGAGAGAAATGGAGGATGTGTTCTTGCAAGGCGCTAGCCAGGCGTTAACCAAATACATCGAACGTCAGTTGCATCCGGCGATCAAAGAAGTACTGATGGTGTCTATGGGTTACACTATTAGTTACGGATAAGGATGAGAAAGTACTCGGTGCGATATTGTAATTATACTTTAATGACACGCTAGTCGATGTTAACGCTTTGACGGAGCGCGCGTTTCGTGCGAGAACATTGAATATTAACTGAATTTGCTATCTGGAAAATATGATCACTTTATTAACATGATTGAGAACTTTACGAGCTCAGCTTTACTTTTATTTATTAAAATTCTCGATTCATTTATAATTTTATCATTATTTTTAAATTCTCTTACGCGACGCAAGTTATATTTATTAATTATTTAAACAATTACATAGAAAAGTTGCGAGTATAAAAGCATTCGATTCATTTAGAATTATATTTTGATGCGATAGCGACTGCGATAGATGTAGTATTGAAATGTGCAATGTATTAAACTTTTCGAAAAATTAAATATAACATGTACAAATAAAGAACTTATCGTTTTTCACAGTGTAAAATTTGCGACGCGATGGACAATAAACCCTTCTGAAACGTAATTTTTAGATTTAGTTTTCGATTTTGGATCAACATTCGTGATGCGTAAACAATGCGATTGCTTCGAATTATCCAACTTGACGCGTTAAAGCATTTCTAGGTGCATTTGGTGCCGCATCGTTTGGCAATAACAAGAGCGCATGTCAAACAAATTATATCCTTCAATGGATTTCACTTAGTTACCGCAAATTCGCGTCGGTGTCTTCCGATTCTGATTAATGAGAAAGAAAATACGCAAGATAAGCTTCTTCTAAACAGAAGTCGGAAAATTCGCTTAGCAATGGCGCGCAAGAAATCACGTGTAACACCTCGGGATGAATTTAATAAGAACACTTCTCATCATAGGAGTTTCCCGAGGTTAGTTGTGAGAATAAAATACATTTTCTTGCGTTTTCTTCGACTTCCTCTATTCGCAATCAAATAAATACATGTTTGCACTGTGCAACAGATACAACTCTAAAGATTTTGTAAATAAAGTAATTATTACTCAACGTAGATCCAGATTAAAGTCATGGAAACTGTGCGAATGGTTATTAAAAAAGGATTGATATAGTGAGAAATTTTAATAACATTCTAGAAAGCGAAATTATTGGACCAGCGGTCACGAATACCTAAGCGAAGGAAGAAACGGGAGAAAAGAGCAGTCGCCCTTCGGTTTTCCTTCCTGCTCGCAGACCTTAGCTCATCTTCAATGGTGGAAGGCGTGGAAGAATAAAATAATCACCGAACGTAGTAAAAAGATCTCCAAGAAACAGTATAAATACGAGCCTTTGCGCACTAACGATATTCTGGAAAGATTACGTGTAAGTTATCGTTCATTCTTTGTTAAAGCCAGGATGAACGCTGAGCAACAAATCCAACACTGATGATCGATGCGTTTGTCAACGTTGGCATATGTCGGCCAAATATTAGCAATTATTTTTCAGAATTGATTAAATGACGTTTAATAGTAATAAAATTCACGCTACGACTTTGAGAATTCAGATTCAACGCATAAAAACTATTCTTTCCTCTCAAATAACAGGCTCGCGCAAACAAAGAGTGTATGTTTTGTAGAAAAGAAGCGCATTATCGTAACAGCTCAGAAATTTTGCGCAGGTGGACGTTGAGATAGAAACGGAGGAGGCGAAAAAGCACAAGGATTCGGGCAAAGCAATCGCCATCACGGATGTGGATTCGCAATACTTTACAGAATTATCCGGCAGACCTGTGAAGGAAAAGTTTTCATTAGACGAATACATCCAGGACATGCGAGACGTGTTGAAAACAAAGCTCCTGATCGGCCAAAAGAAAGACGATTGCATCCGCATCGATCAGCAATTCGAGCACGAATCGCGTCGACTACAGAATATTCAGGTGGGAGACGCGACAAATGTTCATCTTCTACGCTTACACTTTCTTTTTCTGTATTTTGTATCAATAATGTAACAAAAAAAAGCGATCAACCCATTAATAGATAAAATACTCTCTATATACAATAAGCTTCTTAATTAATAATAATACGACTAGACGAGCGACGGATTTTCACGTAAATCGCTTCATTTTACAAAAGCATCGCGCTCGACGTTACGTGAGCGGCTTCGAGGAATTCCTATCGAAAGATCACAAGAAGAGTGTAGATATGCTGGAGAAAGCGGCGGAGGAGACGAAGTTAACGGAGGAGACTAGTGCTCGGAGAAATGAGCTCGCGAAGAAATTTGGCCAGATCAGGCTGGACGTTTATTTTTGGGAAGAAAATTGGAAAATGGTGAAAATGTGCCAAATGTTTCTTTATCGGGTCTCGCCTCTCGCTTGGAGAGTCAAGTACGACAGGATTTACAAATCCGAATCGACAAAGAGCATCGATTCCTTTGACAGAGTGGACATGTTCGGCAGATATAAAGCACCGGACGAAAGCGCCTCTTTAGAGGACTTAATAGGTAATGGCACTAAATTGGGGTGAAAATCCAGATTTTAAGATTTCTGATTGCAGCCACACTGAACTTCTATGTGCTAAAAACAGAAAATTGTACAGTTTTTTCCTTACATTGTACACTAAAATAATTTGTAACACTGTAATAACTTTTTCAAAATTTACAACTATTTGTTAATCTAAAAACAAAAGTTTTCAAAAAAATTATCCTTTTGGCTTAATTTTATTAAATGTGCAGAGTTCAGAAAATTTCATTCCAAACAAAATAATATTAATATAATAGAATAATAAAAGAAATTATTCGATAAAAAATCGAGATTCTTTCGTTTTCGAAAAAGTAATAACTTCACTTGCTGTTTTCGCAATTATCGATTCTATGTGGAACAGCAATATCAATATTTGAAATAAAAAATACATTTTTCATGATACACAGTGCCAAAAAATCACATTAACTTTCGCTTCTGATATCACATTCGATATAGCCGCAGCATTCAAAAGTCTTGATATTTCAAAGATAATTTATAAGAAAAAATGTATAAACAATTATTTCGCATTAGAATTATTCGAGCAGGACATCGCCGACGCCGGGCCCGCCGAGCTCTACTTCACCAATCCTTTCGATTTGATGCTCGTTTTCCGAGCGATGGAAACGCAAAACTTGAACGCGCTGATACACCTCGAGTCGCTCGCCGCGCCGATAACGGATATGACTACAACCATTACCGCGACCGAGGCGGAAATCAAGCAGGAAATTAGCGAGATCAGTTCGACAATCGACGATTTGGAGGTATTTATCGATTTCATTCGCAAAAGTCTACGTAAACTCCCTTAATTGTATAAAAAAAATGTCAACACGATCGGTCTCGCAAAATTCTGAACAGAATTCCATTGCCAAAACGGAGGACAGAGCGGCGGAGCTCGAGGAGTACGCCAATTACCTTCTGCGAGGTATTTTCCAGCAGCTCGTCTGCTCCGAGGAGGTGCTTCACCTGCGCGTTTTCGTGGAGGATACTTACGAGAGCTGCGTGGGTCCGAACGACGCGAATCTCGACAGCTTCACTATGATGAAGTGGATCGAAAGAACTCACGAGGAGCTCAATCTCCAGTTGGACAACCTGCCCCGCGATATTGTGCGCGCTTGTGAGAGGGAAGGATTCAGGCAAGAGACGAAGGCCATAAGGGACGCGGAGGACGCCGCGAGGAAGGTTAGAATCCAGCTTTCGGTTTCTCTAACGGCGACCGTGCATCGTTTTCGACTAAACACCGCGTACATTCGTACAGTTTGAGCTGATGCATCGGCTGTTGGACGCGCTGAAGCGCATCATGGAGCCGCCTGCGAGGAAAAGGCGACCACTGATTCGACGCTCGGCGCCTGTAGTGGCCAAGATAAAGCCACCGCCGGTCGCGCTGAAGCCGACGACCGAGGAGGCTCAGTATCTCGCCTTCTTCACCGATTACTGCAGGCGCGACGACTTCGTCGCGTATCGCGCCAGGTTCCCCGACGACTTCGATCTGACGTTCCGCCGGAAGCGCGACGACGTCGAGACCGAGATGTCGAACGGCGTGTCCGCGAGTGTTGGAGGAGAAGCAGGGGGGATAAAGTAGAAGCGTATCATTGAAAACGTAACGGAATCAGCGGATTTATTTGAAAATTCCCCGTGTGTTTATATCCGAAAGGATCGTATCAGTCTAACGCACTAACGCGTCGTCAATTACTTAGCTAGCACTATTAATAATATGTATACATAAATAGGCGATTTTAACGATCGATTGAAGCGCGAGATAAAATATTAAAAGATAATAAAACACAACAAGGGACAAATATAGTGTACAATAGAATTTGGAACGACAGTCGATATAAAAAACAACAACCATGCTTGACAGCGATCTCTTTTGGCTACTTAAGCGCCGGTTCACGCGTTCTCTCATTACAAACCCTTACAGGAAGGTCACGATATACGCTCCATTTCCGAATATTTCTTTACACGAGCAACTTTTTTTTTTCTTTACAAAATATTCTGCTAGAGATTAATCGACAATTATTTCACAAAACACTGCCAGTGACGAGTAACTTATCGGCGTGAAACAACTATTAATAAAAACGATAGGAACTCGGGAACTTTGAAAACATGTAGCAGCGTTTTTCGATGAGCAAAACTGTAATCGCAAAATGCACAAAAATCCCCGGCACTTTTGGATTAATTCTACAAGGAACGAAATTAAATTACCCAAAAAATTGCACACCGCACCGAATCTTACAATAATAATTGCACTTCCTTAACAATAAACGTTTCCTTCGCACCTCCACGCGTAACGAAAAATATAATGATTTCTAAAGAAACGTGAAACTCGTTAGAAAATCAACAATCGATTACTCTCCCGTGTAATTAGGATGCGTCGCCGCTTCGTATTAAAAAAATATGGCAGCGGTTGACCGTTGCAGCAATAATAACGGCGGTCGCTAATATCGCTAGATGATTTATGATAATTGCCAAGAAGACTTTTCGACGTTGACCGACTTCGTTGCTCGTGTTTAATGCACCTGAACATCTTAAAGTTTGTGAAATTACAGCTTTCCCGTATTTACAATTATTTACTTACATTTACACCATCCACTTTCACATCCAACGTTTTTCCCCGCAACGATAGAATTTCCTTAATCGACTAGCATCGTTACATGTTTACATTTACCATCATTTATAATCATTACATTGTTGCATACAAAATAAATCGCGCCTAAACTCAACCGCGCTGCGTGCATTCTCTTCTCCGGAAACATTTTCCTTTTATATGCTCACATATTATGCCGATCTCATTCAATGATAAGTTAGTGCCTTTTTACGAGTTTAGCGAAGATGTTCGTCGATATTTCAAATCACTCCAATGATATTTTCTCTGCGTTGCATTGTCTGAACGATAAATAAAATAAATAACACGAATACAATGCATATTTATACGCCTGAACGTTGGTAATCTCATCTAAAAAAGTCGTTACTTTGTATGCAACAATCTAATAGGAACAATTAATCATAAAAACTCACCGTTTCTATTGTTTCTCACATCCACATGCAGGCCTCTACATTCAACAGATGCTTAATATGTACACGCATACACGCACGCGCGCAAAAATCGACGCAAGCTCCGAGTCGTTCCAACAGCGTTACGTCCGTCGACAATGGGTGTCGAGGGAGGGTTTGATCGCATCCCCGCGATCGTCGCTCGCCCTTTTCGAGCCTCTGCGCTAATTCCCCGTCAAGAGGGGGGGTACGAGAAGGAAGTTGTGGAAAGCGTCGCCAGTGGAGAGGCTGTCCGTGATCGGCAATATCAGAAGACGCATGTGCAGTCTTCCGAGGCCCTGGCCTACCTGGCCCGCTTCCGATTCAGCTTCGCCAGCTTGCGCCGCTTCAAAATCAACTGGTACAACGTGTCCAATCCCTCGTGCAGCCCCTCGCCCGTAATGGCGCACGCCGGCTGTACGCGAATGCAAGAGCTGCCCGGCATGCCAGCTAGCTCTAACACGCCCAAGTGCTTTTCCAGTTCGCCGACCTCCTTCGCACCTGTGTCACACCGAGCTTATTTAATGAAACTGAAATGGAATATTCTTCCAGACTACTCAATAATCCAATGAACTACATTTAAGGACGTTTAGTACCTATTTTTGAAGTATTAGGAATTTAACAAAAATTTTACATGTTCGGAGACTTGTGACAAAATCCGGAGTCGATTCACTGAAGCAATCAAAAGTTATAAGGATTTTAATTTGCAACGAATTTAGCCGCGACTTTATGGAAAACGTGTAACCGTGTTGACTTAAGTGGCTAAAATAGATAGAAATTTTTTTTTTGTTGAACAAGTTTCTTCTCATACACTTTTTTGGTCACTATTTTTTCTTTCCATCGATAAGGGCCTACTTTTGACATTGTGGATAAACACAACTAATCTTTAACCGCACGTCAAGCATAATTCAGAAAATTCGAAAATTCTCAGAAAAAAAACAACAGAAATTCAAAAGTACATTTCTGCACTCTACTTGCGAATAAATGATAAGATTCTGCGCAATCTTTATTACTCAAACTATATGAAAAGAGCATATATTCGTCAATATCAAATTTCAGCAACTTTTTGCTACGATTGTACGTACAAAACATCCTTAAAAGCGAAATTAATCAAACTTGATGAATTAATGAAAAAATAAAAGACATCTTTAAATTCTGTAAAAAGTGATGCGGGAAAAAAAGAGAGCAGTACTTTGGGAGACAATAGCGTCGGTCAATAAAAATTAAAAAATTCATAGAAATTTACTTAAATTTCTGTTAAAAATACAATATTTTCAAGCTTTGACAGAGTCGACAATGCTGGCTAAATCAAGCCAAGAAATATCTGAGTTTTAAATACACCGCAGCTGTTGAATTATTTTGAAAGCTGCTGTCCTCGCAAAAGAGTGTCAAGTTGACATCAGACGAACAACACGTAAATCTTAGTCTTCAAATTGTTAGATGCGAAAAATTTGTGAAAATTTATTACAATTTGTTTATTGTACATATTACTTGTTAATAAATTGATTTGTTGCTTGCAATGATTTTTAATTTGCAAATACAAATATATCTCAAAAATCAGAAGTAGAATCACATATTCATAAAAACTTCTTGCTTGTGATATTATCACCTTTCAAAGTATCGCCTTCCCTTTCCTTCCGATTCAAATTTTGGGGTACATTTTCTGCACAATTCGCACACGCGATACAACAAGTCATACCAGGCAAATCCTGCTTGTTGGCGAGAATCAGGATCGGCACACCCGCATTGTCCGGACTTCTTGCTGTCCTGGTGAGCTCCATCTTCGCCTCCTCGAGCCTCTCGGTGTCGCAGGAGTCGACGACGAAAATAATACCGTCGGTGCATCTCGTGTACGATTTCCACAGCGGCCGTAACTTTTCCTGCCCACCGACGTCCCACACGAGGAAATTAACACCTGAGCACACGAAAAGCACTGTATTCCAACGAGCAAAGAAACATAATAATGATTTTCTTTGTCCTTTCGATGTCCGCGTGAAACGAAAGTGTTGCTTATATACGCGTACGCGTACCTTTAGCTTTTCCGATGCCGCCGCGAATTCGCTCGCAGTTGAAACCGATGGTCGGCACGGTGTTGAGATACTGGTCGAATTTGAGTCTGTAAAGGGCGGTCGTCTTCCCGGCGCTGTCGAGACCGAGCATCGCCACGTGGAGCGGAGTTCCCGTGGGAAGTGCCTCGAGCAGACCGCCGCTCGCACCGCTTCTACCCATCCCGGCGCCCATCCCTCTTCCCTCGTTCTGTCCGTCGCAATTCTTTCTTCCGAAAAAAAAACCCTCTTCTGTTCGTTTTTTCTTTCCTACTCCGTCCCGACTGTGCTTGGCATTTAGATTCTTTTTTCCCCTACGCGAAATTTCTCCTCCGGATGCAACCTTCAATGCCTGTAGAAGGACTCGCCGCTGCGAAGCTGTTCACTACCGCATCGTCTGGAAAATAAGCACGTGCTACGATCAGCGGTTTAGCGATCAATCTCGCTCGATACACAGGTGTGACGTGAAGCATCTTTTCTAATAAGTGGGACACATAAGTGGGATTTGAATCGGGGTTAACGTTACTTCGAATACCATCCGAATCGCGACGAGTTTCGCCTCTCCCGAGATCTTAATTAAAAAACAAATACGGAACATTGAAAAATAATTGTCAATTGATTCTTTAACTCTATCGATGACAATAATAGACTCGCAACGAGTCGTTTAAAGGCTTTTCGTTCAGTCATATTACGCGTTTTCTTCGAGACTTGTCAGCCTCATCCTCGAGATTGCCTTAATTGCATCGTAAGAACCGCGTTGAAGACAAACGACGGCGGAAAATTGCTATATATAGATCGTGGCGTTCTCTTCCGAAACGTATATCGATGCAAACTTTCACCTCCTTTTGTTTGACTTTTCACCATCGGGTTTATAATCGCAGGCAGCCGGCAATTTGCTTGTTAAGGTACGTGCCGCGCGCGCAATCAGGCTCATTATGTGACTACCCGAGTTGAATCTCCGAACAATGTATCATTGTTTCAAGTAGACTAAGCGCGGCTGGCGAAGAAATCGAATCGATCCTTTTCGGTTCTTCCGGCGAGATTCAAAACGAATTCGGACTACTCCGGTTCGCTACTTCTGCCGACTGTTTGTAGGCAATGTCCTCTTCCGTCTTCCATCGTTCGTACGAGGCGAAACTTTCTCTAACGTTCCTTCCTTCTTCTCTTTCGCATGCGCATCCTCATAGCGGTCCAGCGATAGCAACAGTTATACGTACCTCGCCTCGCTAGACGTATCAATGCTCTCTCTTCTTCCTTTCTTGCATGCTAACGTAATCTCGTCGCAAGGAACGTGATCCAAGATATTCCTAGTATCAACCCTAAACAATAGAGAACATTTGATGAGATCCTTGGACAAATAAATGCATGCGAAATGGCGTGAATACATATTTGCGAAGAGTGCGAATATCGATGATACTCGTACGAAGTATTTTTAGTTGCATAAACAAATTCTGGACGTTCAAGCAAGCGAAAATCCTGAACCCAAATAATATCATAACAGCATTTTTTTTACATCTGACACACATATTAACTTCTTCAGATCCACGTTCGTATTACAGTTAATCAATATCGACGGAATCATTTACTTCTTTTTTGATCGACAAATATATTACGTTTCGTTGTTGAGACCGCGCGATTGTTTATACAAAATATATGTACGTGCGAGAGTGAGCAAATCTTTGATCCGCAACGCGGAGAAAATGGCTCCTTTGGAGAAATCTGGTATTGTAGGTCACAGTGGACCCAAAACGAAAAGAAAAAAAAAAATAAATATATGCATAGCGTCGATTAGAAACTTTAAGAGGCCGCCACACGTTTTGCACGTAACATTTGCAGCATTTTCCAGAACGCTTCTCAAAATCATTGAACAATTCAAAGCCTCTGTGTATGTGTGTGTGTGTGTGTGCGCGCGCAAAGTGATGTAACAATTGGATACTCATTAAATTTTTCCAGCGTGCATTGTCCCGATAAATTCAGTGCCGCAGACTGTGATATTTACAAAAAATACTACCTCACGAATAGCGTTGTCGAAACAATTGTACCAGTTTCGGCGTTCGGCATTGGAATAAATAAGTCGGCGGTACACATAGCGGTTCCCTTTTCAGTTTCCTATTCGAGAAGATCGATTTGAACTTTCTAATTGACTTGGACGTATCATTCGCAACGTGTGCGAAAACCGATGGAATTGGATCGTCCGCGGATCCGCATGCGACATTATTCGAGAGAGCGCGCGCGCGCGCGAGAGAGGAGAGAGAGAGA